GTCCTTACGCGCCCCAAGGGATCCCCAAATGGCCGCCCGCAATATGTCTCCAAGACGGCCCAAGATGCACCCAAGGCGACCTAAGATGGCCCAATGATTGCCCAAGAGGCCTCCAAAACTGCCCGGGAAGCATCCGAAGGGTCCTCCCGGAAGGCTCGAAGAGGCCACCATCATCGATGTTCCTTAGGTGGCTTTGAAGCCCAACCTAAAGCGACCCACGAGGGCCCAAGACGGCCCAGGGAGGCTCCCAAGACGGCTTACGACGGCGCCAGACGGGCCAAGAACGCAGTAAGACTGTCAACGAGGTCCCCATGAAGCTCCCAAGGGCCCTAGGAGGCCCAAGGAGGCCTCCAAGAGGCCTCCAAGAGGCCCCCAGAAGCTCCCAGGAGGCCCGAAGAATGGCCCAAGACGCTCCCAAGAGGTCTCCTCATCCTTCTCCTCATCCTCTTTGTTCCTCCCGCTCATCCTCCTCGTCCCCCCTCCCACGCGGTAAGGGCTTCCATAACGGCTGGAGAACCCATGATTCAACCGCGAACGTTGCTCAAACGTTGGGCCATATAGGCGCATCCTAAAAGGCAGGGGGCGACGGTGATTCTTCATAGGCGTCTTAGATCCGCCGCCTCTTATGGCTTGGTACTCGGGTGCGCGACGTGCCAAACTTCCAAATGGTTATGACCCGTTCCCAATAAGGTCTCCTCCTCACCCGCTGGTCGTGTGAAACGCAGCGTAAAGCTGGAAGCTAAGGTCTATGACGCATCCACGACTCCAAGGCGGCCAAGTTGGCCCAAGCTGGCCTCCAAGGTAGCCCCAAGACGCTTCCAAGATGGCCCGATGGCGGCCTACGTTGCCCCCGAGGCGGCCCACGAGGCTCCCACGGTGCCTTAAGAAGGCTCCAAAGGGACCTCTAGGACGCCAATATCATGAGTGTCCCATCTGTTGTTGAATGATTGTCGTGGTCTCTAGCCTTTTCGGGTTCCCGACGCTCGACCACTGCCTCATAGGAATCCAAAGTCGCCCCAAGACGGCCCAAGAGGCCTCCAAGAGGCCCGCAAGACTGTCCCCCAAGAGAACCCCACGACGGCCCCAGAGGCTAGAGGCTCCCAGACCTCAAAGACGGCCCCAAAGCGCCCAAAGAGGAACTCACGACTGCCCAGGCAGAGCACCAAGACGGCCACCGACGGCCAAGACGTGCCTGAGAGCCCCCCCAAGAGGCCCCTCACATGCCTCCACGCAGCTTCCAGCGAGCCCCAATGAGGCCCCAACAGGGCCTCAGGAGGCCTCCTCGTCGTCCTTGTCCTCCTCCTCCTCCTCCTCCTCCTCGTCATCCCCCTCCTCCCTCTCCTTCCTCTTTCTCGTCCTCACCCACATGTTTACCCCACGGGGGGTCCACAACGGCTGGGGGAACCACATGTTCAAATGGCTTCGCCAGACTTCGGCCCATCTGTTGGCCGCATGGGTGTTTCCAAAATACAGGGGGCAACGGTGATTCGCAATAGCCGCCTTCGATCCGTGCATGGGAGAGGTCGTGGCGTGCCGTACGATATGTGTCACGCTTGCCCTTCCAATAGCTTCCGAATGGCCTTCGCCATCGGTCCACCCCGCAAAGGTACATCCCGAAGGCTTCTCCATCCAATATGACTTCACCATGAGCTCCCAAGCGATCTCCAAATGCGTCCACGACGGCCAAGAGGGCCCGCGATAGCCCAAAGAAGTCTCAGGACGGCCCGATCGCCCCCCGAAGAAGGCTCCAAGAGGTCGTTCATGAGGGCTTCGATTGCCAAAGGTCACAGATGTTCTTTCGATGGTTTAAAAGTGATCGGAATCTCCCTTGTTCGATCTGAGGGCCCAAGACGGATCCAGAAGGCCACTGGCCCGTGTTCCCTCAGTGGCCTCCTCAACTGCAGGGAGGAGCACGCAGCCCACTGGCATGCCAACACTTTCGCTCAGCACTGCACGACCCATGCGTTTCCAGAATACAAGGGAGTGGCAATTACTCGTCGAAGGTGTCCGCGATCGTTGCGAGTGCCCAAATCGCATGTCCGTGACCTTGGAAGATGTGAGGCTCGGAAAAACTCGCTGCTGATGTTGAATATGTTTCCTCCGACGTAGCACCCATGCATACATCGGAGGTAAGAAATGCGGTGAGGCAAACCACGCTGGGGGAACAACTAAACAGACTGTACCGATACCGCTCCGGGCGTTGCCGAATGGGAGGCGATCAATGGAGGGGGGCGACGATACGTGTACCTGCTGTGCACCTGTTGGCCCCGAGGAGCCCCCTTCAGGCTCAAAAAAGGTAACTTCTCCAGCCGCCACACTGATCTCCCCCCCCACTGCGCAACGCCCGACTCCTGCTCCCCAAAAAATGCACGGGTGCGCTCTGACCAGGATTACGAGGCGGATCCAGCCGTGGCGACGAAGGCCCCACAAGAAGGCCAGAAAGTGGGAAACGAGGGACAAGCAGGGGCATCGGTGACGTCAAGATCACGGCGAGATGCCGTCGGCAGTGGTTTCTGACATCGCACGGATCGCTCACTCATGAACGATCGCCTCTGTCCTATGGCGCAATTGGCTCGATACCGGCTAATTCCATGTCGCTGGCGGCGTTCAACCCTGACCGCCCGCGCTGGGGTCGCCGCCGCGTCGACGCGACACGAACCTAACTAATGCTGCTCTCCTCTGAGTGTCGACCTTGAGATGCTGGTGTGGCGGGGTGTCCCAAGGGGTGCTCCGCAGTGGTGCCTCGGTAGGGCTCCCCAGATAGTACCTTGGCGGCGTCCTCACGGTTTCTTGATGTATTGCCGATTCTTAACGCAGTAAGTAAAGGGACCCAGGGTCACACAAACAAATAGACACAACTCCCGAGATTCACAACATTTTCCCAACGATTGATTGTGTCTGTGTGCTTTTTCTCCTCCGGAGTCTGACCTATCCCCACCCCCTGTGGGCCAAGGGCTCCTGAGCGCCATCGACCTAACCCCCTCGAGGCAGAGGCAGATGCAGAGGCAGAGCGCGCCTGAGTCCGCCAGGGGGGGGCTGGAAATGCCAGCGCGGGACGGCCGGAGCCCTCAATCGCAGATGTGGAAGGCGTGATCAGTGCTGTGTGCCTTTCTTGACGAACTTGGGCCCTACCAGTAGTGAAAAATATAAATTTCTCAGCGGTATCCGCCGCGCAACAGCGACGTCGACGACTGCGATTACCACCACGACCACGAGGTGGGGACGGATGCCGCGAAACCCGACGGAGACGGCATGTGTCTCGCCTGTCGGAGAGGTCGGGCGGCAGGGCCAAGGCTTTCCCAGTGTGGGGGCGAGTAGGTCCACAGTCGGACCCAGGCCAGAAGAGCATCCCTCAAGAGCATGAGACCCTCCGCCGGCCAAAACGCACAGAACATGCAAGGGTACCCTCCGCAGGATGCTCAAGAGCATTTAGCAAACACGAAGAACATCAGGGCACCCTCCCCGAACCGACGGCGATCTTACACCTCGGTCCGGCCGTAGATCTAGTGGCGCTGACCCCCTGCGTTGTCACGGCGGCGTTCCGATTGGTCTCCATGGCGTGCAAACTGTACCCCGGTTGATTTCGATTGTGCCCTGGCAGTGCCCAGACTGTGCCGCGGTTGGATCTTGTCGCCGTATCTGTCGCAGGAGGTCAAACCATACAAGCAGCTACATCCAATCTACAACACAAGCCTGAGGCTCGAGGAACGAAGGCTGTGAGATGAGTGCTCACATGAAAATCCCAAACTGAGGAAAAGTTCATAACTGACGCAACCAACCCAAGAACATGAGCTAGATTCGAAACGTGGCCACGAATACGTTGGTCGAGGTCATTAGCCCCATCGCCCATGCCCCATCCGCATGGATCAGCCCCCCAAAAAAACATTCCAAGGTGGAGAGCCCGAAACCCACACAGCAGAAACAGATCCCTGCAAAGCTACGATCATTATGGACCCTCGTGCATACTGTACATCAAACTCTCACGCTGAAGCGACAAGCTCGCACGACCAATGTCCGCCTGCTCTTCGTGCTGGTGCGTCCCGAGTCGTACATGCGAAGCCGTGCACCAGACATGTGATGCCTTGAATTGTGGTGTCGCCAGCTCGTGGGCAGGCGTCACTGTGTCGTGGTATTGTACTTGATGCTGGCATTTTTTCTGCATCGGTCTGCAACAACCTGGCGCAGAGCCCTATGAGGTCAATTAGAGCAGGCAACGCAGAGGGTTACGCGAGCGCGAGGGCGTCGGCTTGCAACGATCTCGGCAACCACACACCACACAGGGGTTCGCGGGCAACCTGGCCGTCCGCCTCTGAAAATCTCTAAATGACCAGGCTAGTGACCAGGCGCGCGGGTCAGTTTGAGGCAGGAAGGGCAGCTATCAGAGGGGCACTGGTTGGAGAGCGCAGCTATGGACACGTGCTTTCTCGGCGTCTTGTAGCGGAGCAGGGCAAGTCTGCCCCGATGGAGCCGAAGTCGCACAGATTTATCCGAGCAGCGGAGCGGAAAGGCTGTCGCTGGCGACGCTGGGCCGCCCTGGGCCCCCAGCAGCTGCCTGCTTAATCAACATTCCACCGGTCGTGACCTGACCCATGAACTCGCTCGCGTTGAACCTGTTGAGCGCAACGGAAATTGCCTGCACGTCGCGATAGCGCTGCTCGCCAAACTGCCTGATGTCATTCAACATGCCATCCCTCACATTTGCATCACAAAACGAGACCTCCTCACCGCGCTTGCTGGTCTCAGTATTTTGTCTCTTCTTCAGACGCATGTAGAGCCCACCCGACACACAGCAAACAGCAATTAACCAATGGGAGGTCGCGAAGTACACTACTCCACCGACCGCCGGCGATGTGGCCAGCTTGAAGTTGGCCAGCTGAAGCTCGTTGTCGTTCTGCACCGTCCTGCTGATTACCGTCGCTTTCATGCTGCTTGTGAAGTTGTCCAGCTGCTCGTTCTGCTCCGACAGTGTCAGCTTGAAGGGGAGCATCTTCGCTCTGAACTCGTCCTCGTAGTGCTTCAGAAGCTTCTCCGACTCGGCGGCGAGTGCTTCGGGGTCGACCACGGCCGTGTCGGGGGCAAACCTGCGAAACCTGTTACCGAACTCCTTCAAGAACTCCTCCCTTGCCGACATCAAGTCCACCTTGACAAACCCGTCCCGGAGGTTGGTGGCCTTGCGTAGAACGCTTTTCTGCTTCCCCCCAATGTTACCAATCTCCCTCTTTCATGGCGACACTGTCACGTGTTCCCTCGGAATCTTCACCCCCTTGTTTTCCACCACCGGTAGCGTCTGCGTACAAATTGTAAGGATGCGGTGGAAATGTCGGGACAATTTCGGTGGGTGGCTGGTTCCGGGATTCCATCTTCTGGCCTCACAATATTGATTGTAACGGTTTTCGGGAGCGGCCAAGAGGGGGGTGTGCAAGAGGGGGGGGTGCAAATCATGACCGGCGGCATGTGCGCGGCCCAGCGGGGGGGCCAGGGACGTAACGAAATAAGAAGAGGCGCCATGAAATCTGGGGAAATATCATGGCCCCCGCCATGATATCCCCCCCCCCCCCTAGTCATCACCCCCCTCTTTTCCGCCCCTGAGGTTTGGCGAGCATGGTCTGGATTCTGGTGGGCGACCGGGTTCCCAGGTTCCTGGTGTCGGGCCTCGGTGAAAGTGTCTCGCCGATTCCAGTGGGCGGCTGGTTTCTTTGGCTCCCAGAGCAGAGAGTAGAAGACAGACCGCGGGAGCCGTCGGAGTACCCTGTGATTCATCAGGGACCGTGCCCTTGCACTCCACCAAGCCCACCGATATATTTTGACCCCTCCAGTGAGGGTGCAGATGAGGTCAAGCCGCAAGAACCTTTGCTGCCTCCCGCCCCTGGCTCTCCGCCCTCGTCGAGCGCGCGCCCGAATCAGAAGCCTTCTTGGTTTCTGCATGCAGACTCGGATCTACCTCCAACCTCTGTGACAGTCTGGCATTTTGCACAACAATTCGCCATACGCCATGCCGATCCCCCAGCACCCCAACCCAGCACGTCCTGGCACAACTCCCCTCCCCGCTCCACTCACATCCCTCCTTCTCTCCTAGGGCGAGAATGATATCATGCAAACACTGGCTCAGAACATGTTTCAAGGTTTCGTGGCGCAGCCAGTGCACAACACTACAAAATATGGGAACTCCAGGAAACTTTGGAAATCCTGGAACGGACCATTCTCATTAACTCTGGCTCCTCTGATCTCCATGGAGAAGAAGCGCTGACGGAAAAGGCATGTCAGAGAGAGAGGGAGAGAAAGAGCAACACACAACAACTCGATTGGCCTTGGCCGCGGGGGACGCGTCCGACGAGGAACGAGGGGGGGCGCCTGGAGGAGAAACACGTGTCCGACGAGGAACGGGGGGTGGGGGGGAAGCGCCGGAAGCTCGCAAGTACGGGGGAGCAGAAAGCGCTCCAAATCCTCGAGGAAGAATGGCACACTGATCAGAAGCAGAACGGAACCGCTGCCTTGTCGGCGCTGTCCCGGAAGACGTCTGCGTAGTTGGTGAGGACCCGGAAGAAATTGCTAACGGTTATCTCGGTCCCTTTCGGCGCAGATGGCTGGGGGAAATCGACCTTGAGAAGTTGGTCGGTGAAGTCGTCCAGCAACTTGAAAAAGTTGGGGTTGATCACGCTCACCTCACCCGAGTACTCCTCGTAGGTGACATCGAGGCCTGGATGGCACAGGCCGCTGCAGCGAGTGGTGATGAAGCTCGCCCTCAACCGCTCTGCCATCTGCTTGGAGTCATCGTTGTTTAGTCTCTCCGGCGCGGTGTGATCCTCCAGGTGGCTGGTCATCTTTTCTCTGCACTCCTCGGGGGTGGCGCCGTCCTGGTAGTGCGGCCAATCACGGACGAGGAAATGCAGGTGCCCGAACGCCGCGCTGTTGTGCTCGATGAGGCTGCATGCTTTCTGGGCGAAGGTGGTGACGTAGTCGAAGTGCCCAAGCAGGTTGTCGTCCAGCTTGTTCTGCACGTTGTAGATGAGCTTGGCTGAGAGCAGGGCGGTCAGACCGAAGATTGTGGAGCTCTGGGACTTCGACAGCTTGCCGTCGAACGCCCCCTGAGTTTGGAGGCGGTCGGGGGGTCTTAACTGGATGGTCCTGAAGAACATGTGTCAATACGGCGAGATAGGGGCAACTCCGTTCAAAATCGGTTCCCAGACCACTACTGGGAGGCACCTGGTGTTGTTTTCACACGGGATCCTTTCTTGATGATCCCGAAACTGGAAAGCAGTCCCCGGATACCGAAAAAGGCAAAACAACACGCTCGAACCCAAAACCACGAACCTTGCATCCCCTTCCTGCTCGGCGGAACCAATGCTGGACCGCCTCAGACCCCCAGCCGGATCCAAGCCTGAGTGTCCATCAGCAGAACCCCGATCTTCCTGGGGGGGTCGCTCGAGTCCGTGAAGACAAAAGGCTTGCTCCACAGCCAGATGCCCTCGGTGCACCTCTGCTCCCCAGGCCTCCAGGCGAAGCCCTGGTCCTCCTCGGTCCTGCCGACGGCGCCCTCCGAGATCCTCTCCTGGTCGCCCTCCTCGGAGAAAGAAACAAACGCATACAGAATGGCTGCTGATATAAAGGAACGCTGGGGAGGGAACGAAGCCCCATTTTGGCGCCAACATCGCCTGGGTGCACGAGGAGGGCTACAAACACAACCACGGAATGACCTAAGGAGCAGCGAGCCCCTTCCGAACCCAAAAACGGTCCTTCTTTCAGCGTCTTGACTGTAAACGTAAACTGTCGCACCTCCGCGGATCTCTTGGATCGGTGCTGAACCCCCCCTGGGGCGGCGGCGCCCAAGGCGCGGCCAGGGGGGCTCCAGCGCCGATCCAAGAAATCCGCACGGACCGCCGAGAAATTGTGTTTGTGCCGTCTTTTGTCCATCGACGCCTGGAACCACTTGGGCAGGTACGCGGAGCCGGAACCTGGAGGGGGCAAACAGCTACACCGATACCGCTCCACCACTGACCTCCTCCCGGGGCGCGCTCAGGCCGGCACTTCCGAGGAGAATCCGGCCGTGAAGACGAGGTCTCTGCTAGAGCACCAAGAAGCGGCATGACCACAGAGTCGACCCGTATCATGAGGAGTCGCGCGGCAGGGATGCAAGGGCCTTGGAATGCCGCGTCGGCGCTTTCGGGGCGGGGCGCGGCCAGCGAAAGCGGCCAAGGGCCCAAGGGCAAGGATGCAAAGGTTCCCTTGGGAACATTGCTCTTCCATGCTATGCGGGTCGACCGTGATAATCTGTGAAGAGTCCGCGCGGATTTCTTCGATGTGCGCTGGACACTCTTCCGTCAGCGCGCGGAGAGCGCGCCGGGGCGCGGCGCCCGAGGCGCCGTCAGGGAGGGCCGGCGCTGCTCCAAGAGATCCACACGGAACTCCGAAGCTGTATGTTCGGGGAGCTGCCTCTCCTCTGAGGGGCAACGATCGGGGGGGACTGGCATGGAGGGGGGATTCCTCGACGTGGAATTGACGAGACATCGTCGATAGATCGGCGTTAGGCCCCCGAGAGTGAGGCCACACCTTCCTGGACAGGTTGAGGCTATCGGGCCCACATCGGCAATGAATGGGCGAGTGGGGGTCGCTGCATCCACCCCCGAGTCCATCCCCCCTCTCGTTGTCCCTGATCCTCCGACTCCAGGACAGGTGGCGGCATCGGTACCTCTTCTGGGCCTCTCCCCAGGTCTCTCCTGGGGTGCGTTCTGACCAACAAATTCCGAGGCGAATCCAGCGGCGGCAAAAAATAACAGGGCAGTGCTAGTGGGATGGGTGCCTTTTCCCCCTCGGATCTTCCTCCCCCGCGAGCCATCAGTGAACCAGCCAGGTCTCTTCTCGAAGCGCCACGCGGGCTCGGCCGGGAGTCCCTCGGGTGCCAGGGCGCCGCCCTCGGGGGTGTCCTCGTCGTGGCCGGCGGTCCTCTTCGGTGGCAACTCACTCGTGGGAGCCTCTCATGCCATCATGCGGGCTCGTGCAAATCGTCGCAGATCGACGCTAGCCGACGCTGAATCGACGCTCATCGGCGCTAATCGATGCTGAATCGGCGCTAGATCATCGATTACCCGACGCAATCGACGCTAGTGCATTCGGAATTGCGAGGGTACACGAGGCTCCGAGGACTTGCTACCGAAGCTCCTCTGGGGGGGCGCCACCTCGGGCATCTCGTTGCCCTCGGGGGCGTTGCCGGCCACCTCGGGGGTGTCGCCGTCGTGGGCCGCCTGCCTCGCCTTCTGAGCCTCCTCTGCGCGCCTCTGCGCCTCCTCCGCGCGCAGACGCCGCAGCAGCAGGTCCAGCAGGAAGCTCTTGCCTGTGCGGTAGGAACCCATCACCGATATGATGGACACCAGTTCGGCCCCCGAGCTTCTGAGCTGCTCCTGGACAAACTGCAAATTCTCTGCGATGACCTCACACTCACCCGAATCGTTAACCTGCAGAATCTTAACGGCCCGGCTGATCACAGCCTGTGACGAACAACAACACACAGCCATAGGGGGGTCGGAGGGAAGAGGACTGGCCATGGGTATGGGTGCGGGTGGGTATGGGTGCGGGACGCACCAATAGCCCTTTCCGTGCCCTCGATGTGTATGGATGCGTGTTGTTCGTTCGTCAGCCTGGCTGTTCGTCTCGACCATCGCTGCGCGTGCGCGCTTTTCGCGAGCACGCCGCTGAGCTGCAGATGGGCACTCTGACACTGAGTGCGGAACACTCTCCTCGCGAGGGGCAAGGGCAACCGAGATTGAGTCAGGAAACCCGTGACTCAAGATGGCTTGAGCCAAAGCAACTGCGGAGAATGGGGGTGATGGTTGTGATGATGGTGATAGTACCTCTTCTCTGAGCTTCGCATACGGGGGCCTAGCTAAACAAGGGCTTGGGCTCTTCCAGATGCCCCCGTTTACTATGCCCTTTTCTACGGCGCCCAAGGCCCCCTAAACGAGGGTATGGCCAAACGTGAAAATAGGCATTCCCCGTGCCCCCGCTTGCTGTGCCCCCGTCGTCGGCGCCCTGAGCCTCGCAAGGCCGCTATGGCCGGAGTTGGTTGGGTCAGGGATCCTACGCATGATGTGGATGCGCAACTGAGGTAGCCAAGTCAGCACGAGCAATAGCAGTAGTGGCAGTGGCAATGATGTTTGTGGTAGCAGCAGCGGTAGCACTAGTCCAGAGTCCTCCCATGCGAGGACCAACAAACTGCTCGGCGGAGGTATCAGCAATACAACTGCTCATTAAACATCACCGCCACGTCCTCCACATCACGACAGCTTAGCAAGACTCCGACTGAGGTCGTTCAATCATCACATAACCCGACTCACTTAGTTTCCCAATCTGAAATTCACAGATTCGCAATAAGCGCGCAATCCCCTCTGGGCCCGCCAAACCACTCAACAACCACCATAATCAAAGAGAGGACTCAACACAGAACGACAGGGAAAAAAGAGAGGACTTGACGAGGAGGAGGAGGAGGAGGAGGAGGAGAGTGAACGGGATAAGGAGGGGAGGAGAGAAGCAACAGTGTTCTACGTATTCAAAACGAGGACACCACACAGGAAAGTTGAGGAGTATGGGCCCGCTCTTCTAGTGTCCTGATGCATGCTTCGAAAAATGCGATGGGTCAGCGATCCTGCAGACACGACCACGACCCCTTGAAACAAACAAATGATAGATGGTCCAGAACCCCTACAAACTGCTGGTGCATGCGATCCGCCCCCTCGAAGGGTCCCTCTCCCCCCGTTGGTGTGGCATGGTGCGGGTGGTGCTGCGGAGCGCCCCCTTCCACCGCCCCCCCCGTGGGTGTGGGGTGGTGCGGCCCCTGTGCAGGGGAGGGGATCGGCATCGGCATCTTCGTCGTCGCCGTCGTCGTCGTCCCATCTGGGGGGTGAGGCCGCCGCGGGGCGAGGGGTGCGTGAGCCTGGAGGCCTGGGGGGCGGGCGCGTGGGTCCGAAGCCCGGGAACGTAGACCCACTCTCCCAAAACTCTCGCGCGGCATTAAAAAATCTACACGAACGTACTCAACCAACCCATCCGACACCTTCGATTGACAAAGGGGCGCACGAAAGCGGCGAAGACCGCACGCCTCGGAGCGCCCAGGGCTGGCGAGGTCTCCTTTGGATTCGCGTGCCCCGCCCGACCTTTTCGGGGCGCAGGAGGGCGGGGGCAGCTGCACGCCAACGTGCCCCCCAGGGGAGGCGAGATCTCCACCCCGCAGGACCCCGCTAGGGCGCCACCCCGCTGGACCCCTCACGTGCGCGGGGACAAGCGGCGACACTTGCACGCCTGGCAGCCCTGGTGGGCTTCCCAGGGGCACATCAAGTGGGCGATCCGCTCGCGCCTGTCAGCACCCAGCGAGAGCGAGGCCTCTGCTCAGATCTGCGCGTGTCACCGCCCCGCTGGGCCTCCCGACGGTGCAAGAAAGCCGCGACACCTGCACGCACGGCAAAACCGGGGGAAGGCGAAGTCGCACTACAGTGAACCCGTACAATAAGGACGCACGATAAGGATGCAAGGGCCTTGGAAGGCCATGTCGACACCTTGCGAGCGGGGCGCGGCCAGCGAAGCGGCTAAGGATGGGCCGAAAGAGAAAAATGCAAGGGTAACCTTGGAAAGTCGCTCATCCTTACTATGTGGGCTGACGGGAAGGATGCGCGTTGGACGCCACCCTGCTGGACCTCCGAAGGACGCAAGGAAACGGCGGCGATTGCACGCCAACTGCACCCACGGAAGCGAGGTCCAATGTTGGATCTGCGCAGGGCGCCACCCCGTCGACCCAGAAGAGGCGCACATAAGCGGCAACAAATGCACGCCGGGCAGAGCTCAAGGAGGCGCCCCGCTGGACATCCCGGGGCCCGGGACGGCGGAACAACAGCTTCGGTGGCACACATGACAGCACACAAGGAGGCGGAGTTCGCAGGTCACCGCCAAGTTGGACCCCCAAGGGGCGCAGGAAAGTGGCGATTTGCTCATGCGGTGGCTGCCCAGAACGTGAGGCCTCGCTCAGGTGCGCGAGAACTCGTCCAGATCTGTGCAGGACGCCATTCGCACACCGCCCCACAGCGAAGCGGGGAGACGGCAACACCTGGAATCGACGCCCCGTGTGGATAGAGTGGCACGCCAGCCCGCTGGACCTCCCCGAGACCTCCGTTGGACCGCCCCCGGGGGCATAGACACAAGAGCGGCGACCGTCGCACGCCTGGCAGCACCCAAGAGCACACTTGGATGTACGAGGGCTGCCACCACGTTGGACCCCTCCGAGGCGCAGGAAGGCGGCAACGAGTACGCGGCAAAATGGCAACTCCCAGTGACAATGAAAGTGTCGCCGTGGTACTGTCAACCATGGCACGATGGGCTCACAAAGGCCACTGCAGGACCACAACGAATAGAAACGGTAGCAGTATCACGGTAAATATACACATATGTACTAGAGCAATCGCGCGCGCTCAAATTCTAGCTAGGCTCGACAGGCTAACGCACAGAATTTCAAACGATCTTCTTGGAGTCCCTGCGCAAGCCTCGGAATAGAAGGGACATGCGGACACCACAGCACATCATCAAGTTGCTTCAGGTGTTCGATGATGTGGGGCCCTCGAAGGCTTCCTGGGATGTTTCTTCGGTGGTGACGGGGGTCTTTATTATCTTCTGTCGTGCAAAAAAGAAACAGGGCGTACGTTTGAAAAAAGAAATTCTTCAAGGGCTCCCAGCTTCGCGCTTCGCGCCGCGCGAAGCGCGAAGTGCGAATAACTTCGCGCTCTCGCGCCGCCTCCAAGGGGAGAAGAGGAGGATGAGGAGGAATCGGAGCCGAACCGCGAAGCGCGAAGCGCGAATAACTTCGCGCCCTCGAGGGCGCCCTTGTTCTTGGACTTCCCTTTGTTCAAATTGCCACGCTTGGGCCGTGGGCCTGACATGTCTTGGATGCAGGCCGTGGGCCGTTGGGACGCCTCCGGGGGCCGTCGGTGGCGTCTTTTGGGGGTCTTTCGGGCCTCTTGGGGAGCTCTTGGGGCCTCCTGGGATCCTCCCAGGAGTCTCCGCGAGCACCTGGGGAGCGCCTCGAAAGCCTTCTGCGAGAACCGTGGGGCCATCTTGAAGCAAGGCACTCGAAAGGCTTGGGCAGGTCCTCTCTGTTGGCTCTTTCTTGGCGCGCGCTGACTTTCTAGCGAGGCTGGACAGGTGAACGCACGGAATCTAGATTTTTACTGTGGTTTCAGGGGAAGCCAAGAAAGAGGACACGAAGACGACCCAAGAGGGTGCCAAGGCAGCGTCAGAGAGTTGAATCGCATTCCCGACGAACCTTTGCAATCAGATCCCGAAGTCTTGATGGGGCTCGGGGTGAACTTGAACAGAAAGAGAATCACTGGAATCGCAAGTGGGGCCCCCTAACATTTAGTGCGCAGAAATCGGGGGGGGGCCTAAGAGGCGTGCAGGATGCTCTTGGGAGGCAATTGGGGGGGCCGCTGTGGGGTTGTTTGGGGGCCCCTTGGGGCGACTTTTGGCCCTCTTCGGGGCTCTCAGGGCCCTCTTCGAGCTCTTTGGGACCCCCTGGGGCCTCCTGGGGGCCTCCTGGCGCGGAAAGCCAGGATTGTCGATTTGCGTTCCCCCAGTTGGGCGTTTTTTCGAGCCATCTTGGGGTTCTCTTGGGCTACCTCGGGGCGCTCTTGCGCCGTCTTGGGGCATTATTGGCCCGTCTTGGAGCCGTCTTGGGGGCTCTTGGGCGGTCTTGGGGCGGTCTTGGGGTCCCTTTTTTCCAACCCTCTCGGAACGTTCGACAACGCGAGGCGGTTGAGAACCATTACCGACAAAACTTGTGTTTGCCTCTTCGGACGCTCTTGGGGCGCCTCTCGGAGCTCTTTTGGGGCCTCTTAGAGGCCTCCTGCCGTCGGACGTCTGTCTTGGGTTGCTTGGGAGCGTCCTGGGCCGTCCTTTCGCGCTTTGGAGGGGTACTTTGGGGCGTTTTGGGTCGTCCTGGGGCGTTTGGGGGACTCTCTGGGAGACCCGGGGGCGCGGTACCGGGAGTTGCCCGCGAAAGTTCCAGGGGTGGGGGGCGCTCCGGGGGGGGGGCGCATTCGTGCATGTTTGATTCTTATCATTATTACTTGTATTATCCGAATTATTCTTTGTGTTCGTCTTATTTGCATTGTTGTGACTACACGTAATACTATTTTTTGTGTATGTATACATATGTATAACCCAAAGCGAGTATCAACACACGAATGGCACGGGTATGTGCCACAAACCCCTGAGGGTGGCACGTACAACTCTGCGCAATCCATGGATCGTGCAACACGGTATACAGCCAAAGACTAGCGGGCGTCGTGAGACGAACAATGAGAACGCGAATAGCAAGTGTAGTTGCCAAAGTAATAGTCGCAAGCCTAAGCGCACCAACCGGAACAACCAACACACAAAATGAACGACGCACCGGTTACATCTGCGTTTGTAATGCTAGAAACAACACAATAAAAAAAAAACAGCATACATTGTTGAGTAAGCGTTGGTCACTCAGAGAAAAGGACGGGTATATAGGGTGGAGTACTGCTCTCATACGTTCGCAAGAAGGCTTGGCACGTCACGCGGACAAGGGCAACACGTTGCGTCACCGCTGGTACCCTTGTGATCGGGTGGACCCCACAACTCTTTTATCATATGCAATCACATATGAAAGAGCGAGTTCCGTGGGCGCTTGGATGGGGGGGGTGAAACCAGACCCCCCCCCTGATTGAAGGGAGGGGGGGTGTTCGACCCCCCCACTCTTTCCTCCCTCCTCCCATACTTTTCCTCTCTCCCTCTCTTCAAGCCGGCGCCGGCGTCGGCGGCGGCTGGCGGCAATGGCGGAGAGCGTCGATGAAGACGTCGACTTCCTTCTCTGGGCGGGCGCCGGCGCGCGCGGCGGCTGGCGGTGGCGGCGGGGAGCGTTGATAAAGACGACGGCGAAGACGATGACGACGACGAAAACACACGACGACGACGACGGCGGCGACGACGACGACAATGGCAACGACGACGACCACGACGGTGGTGGTGGTGGCGGTGATGGTGGAAGTGGTGGCGACGGTCGTGGTGGTGGTGGTGTGGTGGTTGGTGTTGGTGGCGGTGGTGGTGGTTGTGGCGGTGGTGGTAGGTTGTGGTGGTGGCAGTGATGATGGTGTGGTGGTTTGTGGTGGTGGTAGTTGTGGTGGGTTGTGGTGGTGGTGTTGGTGGCGGTGGTGGTGTGGTGGTTTGTCGTGGTGGTTGTGGCGGTGGCAGTGGTTGTGGCGCAAGTGGGTTGTGGTGGTGGTGGTGGTGATAGCGGTGGTTGTGGTGAGGGTGGCGGTGTGGTGTTTTCTTGTGGTGGTGTGGTGTTGTTTTGTGGTGGTGGTGGTTGGTGGTGGGGGTGGTGGGGGTGGTGGTGGTGGTGATGGTGGTGGCGCTGGTGGTGGTGGCGTGGTGGTTTATGGTGGTGGGTGGTGGGAGGTGGTGGTGGCGATGGTGGCGGTGGTGGTGGCGGTTGTGGCGTGATGGTTTGTTGTGGTGGCGGTGGTGGTGGTGGTGGGGGCCGAGGGCGGTCGCGGTGGAAATGGTGGTTCTGGCGGTGGTGGTGGTAGTTTGGTGGTTTGTGGTGGTGGTGGTGGTTGGGCGGTTGCGTGGTGGTTTGTGGTGGTGGTGGTGGTGCGGTGGTTTGTGGTGGTGGTGGTGGTGGGTTGCGGTGGTGATAGTGGTGGTGGTGGTTGTGGCGGTGGTAGTGTGGCAGATTGTGGTGGTGGTGGGCTTTTATGGTGGTGGTTGGTTGTTGTGGTGGTGGTGGTGGTGGCTGTGGCGGTGGTGATTTTGTGGTGGTTTGTGGTGGTGGTGGGTTGAGGTGATGGTGGTACTGGTGGTGGTGGTGGTGGTGGCGTGGTGGTTTGTGGTGGTGGTGGTAGTGGTGGTGGTGGCAGTGGTAGTGGTAGCGGCGCTGGTGGTGGTGGTGGTGGTGGTGGCGGGTGGTGGGTGGTGGTGGGGTGGTGGCGGCGGTGGTTGTGATGGTGGTGGCGTGGTGGTTTGTGGCGGTGGTGGTGGGTTGTGGTGGTGGTGGCGGTGGTTGTGGTTGTGGTTGTGGTGGTGTGGTGGTTTGTGGTGGTGGTTGTGGTGGGTGTGGTGGGTTTTGGTGGGTTGTGGTGGTGGTGGTGGTGGTTGTGGTTGTGGAGGTGGTGGTGTAGTGGTTTGTGGTGGAGGTGGTGGTTGTTGCGGTGGTGGGTCGTGGTGGTTGTGGTGGTGGGCTGTAGTGGCGGTGGTGGTGGTGGTGTGGAAATTTGTGGTGGTGGTGGTGGTATGGCCTTTCGGTCTTCCCGCCACTTTTTTTGGTTTTGGGTCACAATTCTAATGGATGCCTCTGTGGGTCTCATCAACAGGGTCCCGGGGGCGTCTGAAGAGTATATGTGGGGGCTCGTGACCGCCTCTTGGGCGTCTCCTGGAACTTCCTAAAAGATCCCGGTGGCTTTTGGGGAGCGAAGGCTCGATATGGCGATTTGCATTTTCCCGCTACGACTTTGGGCTCTCTCTGGCTATCGTCGCTGTGGTTTCGTCGTTGGTGCTGCCGTTTGCCGCCAGCGCATGCGCCGGCACCGCAACCGAAGGGGGGGGGTTCGAATCGCATGTAGGACCAATCTCAACCGATTGGGACCAATTACACCCGACTGGGACATTTCTCAACCGGCCGAAAAACCAACCGGTACCAATTGCAATCAGCCTTTTCGGGCATACACTAGGATTTTGTTCCACCGCGTTTTAAAACGAGGTGTTCATTCGCTCTGGGGGTCAATATGGGCGTCCCAGTTTGTGGTCCGGAACCTGTGTTGGTTTGCAACAACAGCGCACAACAACATCTATCACCTCATAGCAATTTCACACATACAACATGAAGACATACATTCAAAACACATTCCGACACACCTCCCATAGCAACGCATTTCGAAAACCCGACTGATCATCTTTTGTCATCGGCCGCTATTTCCCTCCTCCTGTCCTGCCTCTTCCCGCCTCCTCCTCCTCCTCCTCCTCTTCCTCCTCATATCCCTCCTGCCGCATTCCTCGTACTCCTCCTCACGATTCCCCCTCCTGCTTCTCTATCATTCCTCTTTCTCCTCCTCCTCCTCCTCCCCCTTTTCCTCCTCCTCGTGTTCCTCCTCTTCCTTTTCCTCCTTATCCGCCTCCTCCTCCTCCTTTTCCTTCCTCTTCTTCCTACTCCCAAACTGGTCCCAGGAGGTCTAGCGTGGCTCGAAGCGATTTCGACTGCCTCTCGCCGAGCAGGGCCGAGCGGGGCCGACAAACACGGCGGCGGCGGCGGGGGGCAGGGCGACTCGCTCGGCCACGCTCCCCCTCCCCGCGGGTTCGGGGGCCTCCCGCACCCCTGAGGGCGCGAGGCGGTTCCATCAGAAGCTTCGCCCTCGGAGCCACGGAGGGTGCCCCCCCCCCCCCCCCGCAAGAAAGGAGGCGGGGGCCGAACGACTCGGCGGCGGCGGCGTCTAAGGAAGCCAGAAGGATACCTCTAAGCAGCCTGTAAGGGAGCCTGTAAGAAGCTTCTAAGGAGCCTCCAAGGCGCCTCCAACGAGCCTTTAAGGTCTAAGGGGCCTCCAAGAAGCCTCTAAGGAACCTCCCAGGAGCCTCCAAGGAGCCTCTAAGGAGCCTCCAAGGAGCCTCCAAGGAGCCTCCATAAGGAACCTCGAGGAAACCTCCCAAAACCCTTTGAAGAGCTTAAAAAGTGGTTGTAATTGGTCCCAGTTGGTTGGGCTTCTGACCGAAATGGTTGGAATCCGTCCCAACTGGTTGTAATTCGTCTACTTTTCGGTTCGACTCCCCCCTGGGAAACCAGAAGAGAAAATATTGGGGGAATTGGAATCTCCTACTCCTTTCCCAAGGGGCGGGGTGGTTTGGACCATGGGTGGGGGGGGGAAGGCGGGTTTGGGGACGGGGGTGGAGTTACGGGGGAGGAAAGTCCCCTGGTTCTAATCGACGGCACCGAATGCCCCCCCTTTTCGAAACGCGCCGCCGAATGTTCCCAAGGTAAACACCCGTGAAACGCTCTCTCTCTCACCGATTGTCCGTGTCTCGTCCTTCTGCCTGGTTGGCACGACGACTGGGCATGCACATATAAGTGGTACAATTGCGAAACAGCGCAACATCCTCGGCCCTCCATCCCTGGGCGCGCGAGCCTTGCCATACTCATCGAAGCGGATGTAGCTCACCTTTGCCCCCCCCCCCCGCACCAGGCAACGAAGAGCTCAACGGGGTGGCTTCATAAGAAATCTGGACCACGAGGTACGAGTGGCAAATCCACTCTCTCACTGCCACCACTATTATTGAAATCGATGGGCTTGCCATACATCGGTCATCACGTCGTCCACTGGGCTGTTCGCGCGCTGACCCCCAATCACATGACAGCCATCGTGACTGCACGCATGGACATCACCTTCGCATGTCCACCACATCAGAGATACACGCGCGCGCATCTTGTGCAGCCTGGCGCTCACTGCAGATATTCGCTGTTGCTGCGCCGCTCCACCGCGTCCACTGGGATCCCCGTGTTGGCCCTCTCGAACGTGTTTTCCCCCTGCGTGCACCTGCTCGCCCCATGCCGAAAGTTCGCCCCCCAGAAGCTCCCAAGCCACCCTCCGTGACGCGGGCTCGGCACGGAGAGCGCTGGCAGCGTCTGGAAGTCCGGAGGCCGCCCCCGCGCCGAATGGCCACGGTGGCCGACAGCGGATCAACCAGCCATAGCGGGCAGGCCTCCTGGAGCCGCAAGCACCACCAGCATCATGGCTCGGGCACCCACTGGAGGAATGGCTGGCCCCTCCCTCTGTTGAACCCTCCCTCAGGGCTGGATGGGGGGCCGCGAGGGGTGAGACAGAAAATGGGCAGCACGTGCGAACATTTTCATGTTCGAGGGGATTTCTGATCACCCCCCTTCCGCCCCCGAAATCAATGTTGATCTCAGTAAGCTTTGGGGGTTTGAATATTTCTGTCCACTCATGCCACCTCCTGGGTAACGCCCTCAATATCAATTTCGGGTGGTCTGGGGGGCATCTTGGGCCATAGGGTTCGAACATAATGTCCATGTACGGGAGCGTTCAACATAGCCCTGCACAGCAATGATTTGTGCATCCTGGGCCTAGCCATTGCGCTTCCAGAAACCTGCCGTGGCATCAAGACTGCCCCAAACTGGCCCAACAAGGCCCCAAGACGGGCAACACGTGTTGCAAGACTTGCCCACACGCCTCCGCTAGTACCATAAGAGACCTTCAAGATGACTCCAAAAGACTATTGTACAGGCTCCACCAGCGGAGGTGATTGGAGAATCCCCAAACCTGTTTTGCTACGTGGCCGCTAGGCGTGCCTACAGAGAGCCCTAAATACCTCCAGACAGGCGCCCGAGGGAGTCCAAAGAGGACCCCGAACGCTACCAAAACAGCCCCAAGGTGCTCTACGAGGCCTCCAGGGAGCCCCCAGATGACCCCGAGTGGTTGGAGGTCTTTCGAGCTGATCCCAGCTCTGGTTTGCCTGCGCCCCCCACAACCCCTCGGGTTGACTTCTGCTGGCCCAGGTTCCCTCATCGGGACAGGCAGCATGAGAAGAATTCTGGGTGGGCTGGTGGGCGTACGGGAAGCGTCAGGAACGGCCCACATCAGATGGCCGCTTCTAGTTGATGGTGGCCGTAGGCAGGGCTTGGCCAGAATTGGCCAAAGGTCAACTGCCATACATAGGATACAACTTGCCGTAGGGAAAATACAGGCCGTCGGAATTAGTAGCTAAGATGAAAACGTAGAGATAAAGCATATTTGGGCTCCGACCCGCCCGCGACAAGCGAAGGCAAAGAAAGCCCATTCGAGTGTTGAATAGTGGGATCTGCGAGTCGAGCACCTGCCTTCAACGAGTGACATGCTCTGCTCGATCTGGCAAACCATCGCGGGCCTCCGATCGCACTCTCTGTCCACTATACCCATCTGCCTGCCCTTCGCCCTCCCGCACTCCGCGGCGCCCGTCGAGCTGGGTCCACGTGCACCCTGGGGAGGAGCGCCGCATGCCCACCCGGGCCTCCGCCCAGCATTCCGCCCAAGGGGAGGGGGGCAGGCTCCCCCTGATCCAGCCGAGTGTGCAGACCATGCACCGCACCGTGTCCGGACTCCCTTCAGGACCGGCTCCAACGCGGTACGGTACATACCTGTTCGGCCCTGAGGGCCGGAAACGCATGAACCGTACCATCCCCCGATGGAGGGTCGACGATGCCTCGAGAGATGCCGGCACCTGGGCCTGGGCCAGACGAAGACCCTTCAAGAACAGGAGACCCTCCGTCGGCCACAACAAACAGAACATCCAAGGGTGCGGCCCAGGATGCACGAGAACACCCAACAAACACGAAGAACACCAGGGGGACCCTCCCCGGACCGACCTCGATCTTGTACCTCGGTCCGACTGCACAGTGCACCCAAGTCGTCCGCGGATGGCCAGCTGCACTTGGCAGGTGCTCCCGCTGCCGACGCCCGTGGAGACAACCTCTCCCGTGGACGTCTCGAAGACGACAAGCGGCAAGGAGTGCGCTTGTAAGTATTATCACGCCCATGACCAGCCCCGCCCCCGCCCTTCCCTCCCCGGGCACGACACGATTGGCGCCGGCCCCGTCTGGGAACTAGCCTTTCCTGAGCGGCGCGAATCGCCACGTGACTGGCCCCCTCCCCCCCCCCACCCTGGCCACGCCCGGTATCGCCCGAATCGCCCCGGAAGAAGAAACGCTCTCCAGACATCCGACGCGAGCCTCCGAACTCTCGACCGAATCCGCGGGAACAATCGTTCCTCGCGGGCAGTCGTTCGAGGATCCCCGGGGCCCGGGGACCGGCTCCGGACAGCCAAAAGTACGTAGTACTGCTTCCTGCCGCGAGGCCTGGAGGTCTGGCAGGAGCCAGCGAGGAGCGGGGGACGATGAGCCACGGGGGGAGCCCCACGCGTATGCACAAAGCTATGCGGGTCTTCGCCCGCGAGTGAGTATACTTGCACATTTTGCTGAGCGTCTCACGCTCGCGAGACTACCCCGAAGAACTTCCGTTCAACTGTGCGCGGTGTGTGCGGACATAATTTCATGGTCGTGTTCGTGTCCCCGACATGGCCATGGACGGAGACAACACGCCCGGAAAACGACCGAACCGACTGATAGCGAGACCAAACCCGATCGAAACCGAATCTACGGGAGACAGCCCAGAAGGGCGCAGCGGCGCAGCAACGACAGGACAACCGACCGAATGCAACTGCGAGCGCCAGCGACTGCGACGCAGCCGAATCAACCGAAGCGCGGACGCCCCTGGGAGCCAGAGAGGAGCCACGATATGAGGCTGCGAAGGTTGGAAGCGGCCTGGTTGGGGCCCCAGAAAATCTGTCAGGAAGGGGGGATGTTGCCAAATGCGCTCGAAATCGGTCCCTTGACCCCTCACGGGGTCCATCTGGTACAATGTTTCACCCAGGATCTGTTTTTGACGGGCCCAGAACCCGAAAACGGCCCCCAGAGACGGGGAAAGGCAACCAACCTTCCCGAACCCAGAGCCTCGAGCCAACCAGCCCTTCCTTCTGGCTGGAACCATTGCTGGGCCACCTCGGACCCCCAGCCCGTCTCCAAACCCCTGGGAACCGAAAACCGAACGCACGAACACGCCGTACGCCACTAGGCACGTGGGCAAAAGCATGCGCCTAGCAATGCTCGGCGCGGGATCAAAGGGAATCCGCGGGTAGCAGGAGTAGGAAGAGAAGGAAGAGAAGGGCGCCAGAGAGGAGCCACGATAGGAGGCAGCAAAGGAGCCACGGGCGGTGAGGAGCGCGGCGAGGGGCAGAGCAAGGCATCGAGGCGACGAGCGGCCAAGCATGGTATCCGCATTCTCCTGCACGCGATACGCGATCCCATCGACCAGAAGTCCAACAACCATCCAAATAACACAAAACGCATGGTTTCGCAGACACTCTCGATGGCATGCTCGCCTGAGTTGCTCGCTGCACGCCCAAGAATCCGCGACGCGAGAAGCCAATCAAAATGTGACACAAATAAATAAATAAAAGGTGACACACAAAAACTAACATAATGTGGCACGAGAGGACATTCGCCTGCCAAAAATCAATGTGGGGCGGCCCGCGAGACATCTTCAGCCGACGCTGCCTTGCTGCCTTTTTGCCAACGGCTGTCCGGGCGAGCGCCCTGGCGCCCCAATGGGAGGCGACACCGGGGAACTGTGACAGCCCCAAGATACGTCTATTCGTCAATCGACGCTTGTCGGTGACGAAATTCAACATATGTTGTTGTGCTATGTATCCGTTGCCACGGAATCCCGGCCGTGGAACAGGTCGCCGCCAGGAAACAAGCCGCGTTGGGAGCCTTGTGCTCCTCACCCGGCTGGGGACGGCAAGATCGGGTCGGATGACTGAAGGGACAGCGAATAAAGAGGCCCAGGGGTCCTCCTCCTCATTCTCCTCTTTCTCCTCCATTCCTTTTCCTTATTGATAACTCCTCCCCGTCGCACCCCGAGACCAGTCAGTAGGGCGGGCCGGGCGTCTCGCCTGAGACTTCCTTACCGCGTATGACCCCCAAGCTTCAAATTTGCAGCTTCCTGCATGGGGGGCGGGTGGTTTTCAAAATGTGGCTCTCACCTGCGCCGCGCACATTCGTCTTCAGAGTTCGCAAGAGCTTCACTGACGGAAGGCGGTACCTTTTCAAAATATGGCTCTCGCCCTATCGCCGCGCGCTTTCGTCTTGAAATCTTTGCCACAGCTTTACGGATGGAGGGCGGTTCCTTTTCAAAACCTGCCTGAGTCTCTCTCCTGAGCGCCGCGCAATTTCGCCCAAAAGACTACAGCCATTTCAAATTTTCTTTCGGCGAACGTTCAAAAAATGATGCCATGGCACGATGTAGGACTGTCAGGGCGCGACAGTTACGTTGATTCGCAGCGCTGAAATCTCTGGAATGGTGTCCTGGCGCAGTTCAGGATCGTCAGGGCGCAACAGTAACACTGACTCGACGCGTTGAAGTCCCAATCATGTTCTGGCACGGCCTAGGAATTTCAAACAGCTGTCTTCTAACGGGGCAGGAACATGAAACTTTGAGGCAGGGATTATTGCAACATCGTTGATGAGTCGTGTATTTAGACTGGTCCTACTCCTCCTCCTCCATTCCTTTTCCTTCCTGTCGCACCCCGACGTCGGTCGAAGGGGCGGGTCCGGGCATTTCGCCTGAGACATCCTCACCACTTATGACAATGATGCGTCAAAATTGACAACGATTTCACAAATGGGAGCGTGAGGTTTTCAAAATGTGGCTCTCGCCTGGTCTTTTTTAAATGTGGCTATTGCCTTAGCGCCGCGGACATTCGTTAAACAATGCGGAAGCTTCACAGATTGAGGGCGGATGGTTTTCAATATGTGGCTCTCGCCTCAGCGTCGCGCACATTCGTTGTAAACATTTGCAAACGTTTCACGGATTGAGGGCGAGTAGTTTTCAAAATGTGGCTATCGCCTTAGCGCCGCGCACATTCGTTGGAAAATGCGGTGAGCTTCACACACTGAGGGCGGGTGGTCTCCAAGATGTGGTTCTCGCCCCAACGACACGCACAACATGTGGCTCTCACCCTAGCGCCGCGCACGATCAGCGGGCAGAGCGGCACGCTCAGAACGCTGCGCGCTGAAAGATTTTTGGCTTGGCGTGTCTCACGAAGGGGGGGGGCTGGGTGTTGCCACCCGCCGTCTCTTCCTTCCCCTCGGGGGTTGCTAAAGGTGCCCCTGGCCCAAGGTGCCCCCATTTTTGTTCACAATCTTGGAGCCTCTGGGGCCCTCTGGGCCCTGTAAGGGGTGCTCTGGAGGCCGAGGGGGCCTCTCTGGAAATCCTGGGGGCACCTTGGGCCAGGGGCACTTCCAGCAACACGCGATCCTCGGCCTGCTGCTGTGCCTTCTGCACCTGGGTCAAGCCAAACCCAGGTCACTCATACTTTGCAGGATCCGGCAAAATCCAGCACAATCCTGCAGGATCCTGTCCGAGCCCGGGTCGGTGCAACCCCGGCTCGGCAAGATCTTGCCAGCTCCGGCGCGCTCTGGCTGACCCCCGTCTGCATGGACCCCCGTCCCTTGAACCCGATGGACTACGCGCAAGAGTGGCCCTGGGTAAGAGTGACCTTTGGTGCGCGGTTCATTGGGGGCTGCGGGGGGACCAAACACGAGCGCGCAAGACGCTAATACCGCATCGCGTTCGGCGATCGGGGGGCCCCATTTGGCTTGGGCGTGGCTTCATGGGGGGGTCATAAATGGGGGGGTCAGAAACGGTCCCCTTTCGTGCCCCTTTCGAGCCCCTCCGGACCCCCAGTGGGCTCGTTTAGGTACCGTTTGGGTACCTTTTCGGACCACCCTCGCCACCCCCCCATTTATGACCCCTCCATTACGCAACTCCCAATTGGCCCGCACCAAAGGTCACTCCGGCGAAAGGTCAATCTTACGTGGAGTCGACCCGACTGCACCTCACTCCCGGGCCTCCGGTGCCCGAGGCCGCCCGCGAGCCCCTCCCCGCCACTGCTCGGCGCTCGGGCCTCCTCCCTCCCCCTCTCTCCTCGTCTTCGCGCCCCGGGCCCCGCGCACGCCGCCGGGCCCGAACGCCTGTGACCTCCGGCATTGCCGACGAAAACTCCGACAGGGGGGGGGATCGATGCGGCATGCCAAAAGCACCCATCCGCCGCGTCCTTGTCTGTCTGTCCCGTCGCGTCCCCATCCGCGCCGAATCCGTGCCGAATCCATGCTGGACACTTCGGATCCATGTCGAAGCCGTGTCAAACCCGAATCGAATCCACGCCAAATCCACGTCAAGTCCGCATCGAGCCCGCGTCGGGCACAAGAAACGACACCAACCAATTTTGGGGACAGGCGAGGTCCCCGAAAATGCAACGTGAGGCAGGCAAGGCCACTGGCAAGGAAAGGCCGCCGCCTGCCGCGATCTTCCCGTCACACACCCTGTCGATGGTGCGCGTTGGCCTGGACACGGGTCGGCGGCCGTGCGCGTGGTCGTGGCCGTGGCCGCGTTCGCCGTGAAGGAGGGCAGCACAAACCACCCCCAACCCCCCGCAAGAACCCCAGCCAGGACCCCGACGCCCGACCTGGTGATAAGGTGGGGGTGATTCGGGGGCATTCTTGGACAAGGGAACAGGAAAGACTCGGCCAAGCGAGACTCGGCCAGGCCGAACTCGGCCAATGTAAGCTCGGCCAAAGCCCAGAGGCCGAATTTCGCCTGGCCGAATTCAGCGGGGGCTGACTGCTCTGGCCGAGTTGCTCCGGCCGAGCTTTTCCAGCGCGAGCTCGCCTCGCCGAGCTCTGCAACTGGAGCGCCGACCGAGCTCGGCGCGGGTCAGCGCGGACCGACTTGAAGTCAGCTTGGCCCAATGCTCCCCGGCCGAATTTTCCCTGGTCCAGATCTGCCTGGCCCAATGTCTGTCCGAACCGAATTTGTCCGGCCAAACCGGCCTGGCCGATTCTAACGGGCCGAATTCGGCCAGCCGAATTTCGCCGGGGCGAGCTTGTCCGGAATCGCCCACGGGAGCCGCAGCGGAAATTCCGCGCGCGCACAGCCCAGAAGAGGCGAGCCCATGCGAGACAGAACAGGCAGGCGAACCACTGTTCAACCAAGCGCAGCCTGCACGAGCAAACCGAAGTGCAGGTATCATCCTCCGAGCGGACTAAATCCCACCAGCCTTATCCCACCAGCCTTATGGGCGTAGGTGGTGTGAAGCGGTTTCTCTTCCAACCCCCTTCTTCCCCTTCGGGGAGGGGTTTATCAATGTTCCCTAGTAATAAACACCCCTCCCCCAGGCGACTGGGAGCCAACCAGGGACAATGCGGGCCCCCCCCCACCATCCCTTGCAAAAAACAATACGAAACACACTCTGCCTCCAAATTCGGAGCATGCGCAGCCAACCCGATGCGGCCTCACCCCACCATCCCTATCAAAAAGCAATACGGAGTACGCTTGGCGGCGGCGGCGGCGGCGGCGGCTGCGGCGGCTGCGGCGGCGGCGGCGGCGGCTGCGGCAGCTGCGGCGGCGGCGGCGGCGGGCGGCGCGGCGGCGACGACGGCGGCGGCGGCGGCGCGGAAGCGGCGGCGGCGGGCAGCGGCGGCGGCGGCGGCGGCGGCTGCGGCGGCGGCGGCGAAGGCGGCGGCAGAGGCGGCGGCGGCGGCGGATTGGCCCCCAGTAGCTGCCCATCCAAAGACAACTGCTTGCTGAGGCTCGGGCCAAACTCGGGTGCTACGTACTTGGAACCGGCGGTAAACCGTTAACCAGGTTACCGCCGGGGACCTCGTAGAGCTCTTTTCTTGCTCAGCGCTCCTCAAAACACGTGAAGGAGCTTCCAAAGCGAGGGAAACAAAATCTCGAAAAAAATCGGTCGGATACGAGTAGTTTTGGACCTAGCTCGAGTAGCGGACCCTATTCAGAGCTCTCAATGCTTCAGCCGAACGCCCCTGATGATTCTGGATCGCTTTCTGTGCGTACCAGCTCTGTAGCTGTGCTACAGATCGAGTTAAGTACAGAATACCGACAGCGTCTCTAAAGAGAACATGAGAAATACGCATATCCTAGCTCGAGTAGCAGACCGAGTTCAGGCCTCTCGATGCGACAGACGAAACTGTCTGGTAATAGTGAATCGTTTTATGTGCGTATCAGCTCTGTAGCTTCTCTAAATCTTGAGTTGAGTACAGAAAACCGACATCACTGGTGAGAATGACTCGAAGAATACAAAAGTTTTACGGACCTAGCTCGAGTAGCAGACCGAGTTCAGGCCTCTGGATGCAACAGACGAACGCGCCTGATGACTCTCAATCGGTTTCTGTAAGTATCAGCTCTGTAGCTGTCCGAAATCTCGAGTTAAGTACAGAAAACCGTGAACGCGTGTTAAGATGACTCGGAACACAGTCGGTTCCGCCAAGCGTTTTGATAGTAGTACTGCACTTACGGACCTGAGAATTTGACTGGCAGACGCGGCATGACCCACTACAGGTGCGAAAAATCGGGTTCCTCAAAATGAATTGTCAAATATCTTTCAAATCTTAGAAAAACCGACCCAAAATTATCACATTGTCTCTTCTCGTCGGGTCGACCAACTAGCTCCACCCCGCGCCGGAATTCCTCTAGCTCATCGATGCCGAAGAGCTCTACGAGGTATGTGTTGGGAGGGCGGGTGGGAGTGAGCGAGACGGCTTGCGGGCGGGGAGGGAGTCTTGACCCCTCCCCCTACCCCCACCCCTGGACCTGCAAGGGGGGGTTCGCGAGGCGTTGGAGCGTCCAACATGACCCAAAGTGGCTCCAAAAGGGCATCAGAGAGCCCAGGATGACCTCCAAGATGGCTCCAAATAGCCCAAGATTGCGCCAGATGGCTCCCAAGATGCTCCAAGAGACCGCAAGACCGCTCCAAGACGGCTCCAAGTGGCCATGTAACATCCCCAGGAGGCCGCCAAGAGGCCAAACTCCCACAACAACCGAAGGACAATTAATGAGTTGTGCGTTCTCGCCTTTTTGCTTTCGATGGCCTTCTGAGGCCTCAAGATGGTTCCAAGAGAACCCAATAGGGCCCCAAGAGAGCCCCAAGACGGCCCCAAGAGCACACCAAGAGCACACCAAGAGGCGAGTTGGGGGGCTTCCGAGGGGGGAGGCAAGTTAAGGACCCCCCCCTTCTTTGCTTGAGCTCCAAGATGGCTCCAAGAGGGCTTCTGAGGCCCTCAAGCAAGCTCCGAGAGGCTCCAGAGAGGCCCCCAATAAGCCCATCAGCGGCCCCCAAGGGGCCCCAAGAGGCTCCAAGAGAGTTCCGAGACGGCCCCAAATGCGCCAAGACGGCCCCCAAGGCGGCCCTAAGTGTTCCACGAGTGCTCTAAGAGGGACCATTCCTCAGAGTGCTGCCCACTTCCCTGATCGAGTCAACTCCTCTGGGCATCGTCTCTGGATGGGCTGGTGGGTTGCGCAAAGCGTCAAGCATTTCAGAATTGTTGCGCGCAGGTCCCCCACGAGAGAGCTGAGTTGGGAAAACAATCAGAAGAGAAGATCAGAGCGTAGCCGAGACGAGAAGAGCCGAGCCGAGCAAAGAAGCACCAAAACCAACACGATTACGAACGAAGGCGAAAGATAAACCATGCTCTTCGACTGCGTCCACAACACCAGCCGTGGTCACGCACATGTCTTGCCCCATCCCAACCATCCTGAATGAAAGGCAACAAGAAATCAGGGCCAATGCAGACGCAACATTTGCGTGACTATAAAAGTTGCGTGGTCACTCGAAATCCACCGATAGGGGGTCACATGCGAACCCTACCCCTACCCCCCACGATTTCTGAGGGGGAGGGTGGGGTTCACTTCGCTCAGGAGCTCCCGAACGGAGTGAACCCCACCCTCCCCCTCAGAAATCGTGGGGGATAGGGGTAGGGTTCGCATGTGGCCCCCTAGCCGACCCTGTCGGCGGGTGTGAGGGTCTTGGCTGTTCGAATCGTTGTCTCCGTCAGTCGTCGTCTCCGTCGTCCTCTTTCCCTGCACCCCCGTCCTCAAGCTTGTCAGCGAGAGAAAATCTAGCAATGTCGTAGTCGAGTCGAAGGGAGGCCCCTTTCCTTTGATCCTTTCCCCGCGCCAGGGGGAAGGGGGTGGTCGGGGGGGTCCCGGGGGGGTCGCCACCTTCATGCGCTTTCTCCGCCTGGGGGCCCTGGGGCCCTAGAAAATATCAAAACAGGCCAAGAGTGTCCCAAAGTGCCGCCGAGACGGTCCAAGAGGTTCCCTAATCGCCAGAAGATCGGTCCAAAGCGCCTTCATGCCCTGCAGTCTGCCCAAGAGGCCTCCAAGGCGCCCCAAGACGCCTCCAAAAACATTCCCGAGAGGGCCCCAAGAGGCCAAATTCATGAATTGTTCGCTGGTTGTGTACAGATTTGGGCGGTCTCGCCTTTTCCACTTCCCGCAGCGCATAAACGGCGCCAAAGGCCCCCAATATCTCCCCAAAACGGCACACGAGGCCTCCAAAAAGGTCCCCAAACACCCCAAAAGGACCCCACGACAGCCCAAAACGCCCCACCACATGCACCCACAACGCATCCAAGAGCGTGCCCACACGGGGGACCCGAACGGACGTTTCGAGCCTTCATCCCCAAGAGGTTCCCGGGAGGCCCCTAAAGGTCCCCCAGATGCCCCTAGAGGCCCACAGGAGGTCCCCAGGAAGCACGAAGACGTCCCCAAGAAGCCCCCAAAAAGGTTTCCACGAGGCCTCCAAGAGGCCCCGAAAATTCCTGTCAAGAGGCCCCCAAGAGACTTCCGAAGAGACCCGAAGAACCATCCCTGAGGACTCTGGCCTCTGGCCCACGTCAACGTCGTCGTCGTCGTTGCCTCCGCCGCCGCCGTCGTCGTCGTCGTCGTCGTAGTCGTCGCCGTCTCCCTTCAGGGTCGGCGGCGCCGGCCGTAAGGCATTCGCGATTGCACAAGTCTGATGTATCGCAGATGCACCGTACCTTTTTTCACCCTGCTTACTTCTTTTTCCATCGGGATGGTTGCCCCTCAAGAGTCGCCAAAAATATACTGAAGTAGTGTGTTTTCGGTGCTAGCGCGGTCGGCGCTACTTTAAAAACGCTGGCACGAAGTCTTGGCCCAGGCGCAAAGGTGCGCAAAATCCGGCACTGCCCTCGCAGCGTTCAAGAACGCGTTCCCTGACAAGGGCCGGAACTATCAAACGCTTCGATTTCGAACGGCGTTTCAATCTATTTCTGACGAGGCTTGGCCGTTGCGTCTTCCATCGCGGGCCCCAGCCAGCACGTGCGTTTCTGTCGGTGACGCAAATCCGGCGCCATCTGAGGCGAGCTTCACGGCCCACTGCACGCGGCGCCGATGCGCGAAGTCAACGCTTCGCCCTGCCCCCTTTCGACCGGATGGCGTCGCGGGCCCGCCCCGTCTGATCTGAGCAGATCTGGGCCAAACGCGCCCGGCGGCGAGCGCTCGCCCCGGCCGCCGCTGCGCGCGG